ACTTCCACGCTCACCGGCAGGCCCGGACTGGCCATCGGGAGGACCGGGAGGGTGTGTGTATGTGTGGCGCGAGCGAGGCACACCTTACGTGTTGTTGTTGTTAGCATCTGGTGCTAGCTAGCTGCGCTAACGGATATAAGGAGCTGTTTCAATGAAAACAGAGGAGCGACATTTCGCCGACGACTGCGCCGAGCACTTGACTTTATGCAGGTAGCCAGACAGTGGGACATTGTACGAAAAGTCAGCACACTCAGCACGGATAGTGCGCGCAACATGATTGCAGCGTCCAGGCAGCTCCCGTTCGAGCATATATGCCTTGAGCTGCACATAGCTCCAACGATCCATCACAGAGAGGAGAGAGAGAGAGGTTCCAGGTTGAATTGAGGCGAATATTTGTAATGTTCAGAGGTTGTTGTGTTTAATATTCATGAGAATATTTGTCATTGTTCAAATGATAATAAACAAACATATAAAACATATTTGTCCACTCGGATACAGATACAAAATGTGCGATTAATTTGCAATTAATCGCGATTAACTATGGACAATCATGCGATTAAATATTTTAATCGACTGACAGCCCTAATTAAGAATAACAAAAAATAGCTAATTCTCTTGCAGATTGTCTTGTTTGATTATGAATGTAACGTTTATATAGTGGAACTACACTGTTTTATCAAAACCAAAGTGCCACGCAGTAACTTGGTATCAGGGCCGTATCCACATTTGAGGTCACCGAGGTCCGGATCTCGGTAATTTTTTCCGAGCTGTGTATATAACAAAACTTGTGAAATAACTGCACTAAACGGGGTTCTTTGTAGTACTTCCATTTGCTGACGATGGGGGCGTTGCATAACTACGTAGCCTCGATTAAAGCAAACAGAGGTTAGCGGCCTAGCAGCGGTGATTTTCGCACCACCGGACACCACCGGACACCACCGGACACCACCGGACTGGCTTCAGAAGAAGCCGGCTAGCTGAACAGCTAGCTCTGCCGGCGGGTCTCGGTGGTCTCGCGCTGACGGCTGCTGGCCTAGCACTGCAGGCCTAACACCATCGGAGGAATGCAGCGCCGATGGCTCCGCGCCGATGGCTAGCAGCCTAGCGGCAGACATCCATAAAACACCAGCTAGCTTTGACTGCTCCACTGTCATAAACGGCACCGAGGTAAAGCCTAGAAATCCTGTATTTAAAAGACACCGTTGCACAAAAATGTTTCAAACAGTGAATCAAGCTAAAATAGTGTGGGATCCTCGGTGCAAGACGAAGGGACTATTCAGTGGACATTTAAATTTCCGCAGCATCTGCACTAAACATGAACAACTAGAACATCTCCTCCTTGAGTCCAATATTGACTGTTTGGGAATATCTGAATCTTGGCTAAAACAGTCGTCACCATCTTCTATTGTATCTATGTCAGGATATAATGTGTTTAGGAAGGACAGACTGAAGGGAAAAGGAGGGGGTGTGTTGCTTTATGTGAGGAATACCTTTACTTGTAGGGAGATTGTACTCCCAGCTAATATTGAGTTTGATTGTGTTGGTGTGGAAATCACACTATCTGAGGAAATGTCCCTCACCATGATTTGCCTGTATCGACAACCCACCGCTAAGGTGGATTTCTATGACCAGGTAAAACTCCTGCTGAATTCCTGTGACTCCAACAAAGAGCTAATTATTGTCGGAGACTTAAACATCAACTGCCCGCTCTGTATTAATGTCATGTGGATTTTCCTGTCATGTTGACAGGTCATCATCATGTAGGCGTTGATAAAAGCTCATTCTAATGTTGTGTTATGTGTGTATGAAGGTACGAAATAAAGTTTTGCATTGCCTATCCTGCTTTTTGTGTTTATTCTTTTAATCACACAGCGATAAGAAACAATAACAATGTGCCTACATAACTGTCAGTTGCAGTCCTAGCATTAGTATTTGGTATAGTAACAGCTACAACATTAAAATACTTCTAGGCAGATTGAGGAGGATAATGGGAGAATGAACAGAGGGGCAGAAACATCCATCTGAATAATAATAATAACTTTATTTGTATAGCACCTTTCATACAGGGGATTGCAGTTCAAAGTGCTTTACATCAGTATAAAATAAGACATAAAATCAGTGTAAAACAAGCAGCAAGAGCAAAGCATAAAGTGAGATAAAATAATGCAGTGGTGCTGGTCAAGGTTTCACTGCTGGTGCCACTGCTGGTGCCACCGGGGGGTGATTCTGAAGCCAATCAGAGTGGTTTCTTGGTCCGACTGCCTGTGTCCGACGCATGGCCGATTCAACATGTTGAATCGGCCATGCGTCGGCCGTGAAAGGCCAAATAAGGCGTGTCACGGCCGACGGTTCGGGACACACCAAATTGAGTTTGGGCGACAGGGCACGCCTAGAATCAAGAATTCCCTTTACCAGGACATAACGTCCCTCCTTGTCAATAACCTGTGAGGAGAGCTGGAAGGTCACTTTGTTTGAAATTAAAATAGCAACACCTCTGGCACGCCTATTAACATAAGAGGAGTAAAACGTGTTTTTAAATCCTAATTCTTTTAGTTTCTCATGTTCAGCTTGTACAAGATGAGTTTCTTGCCAAAAGATAATATGTTGATTTTCCCTTTTCATTTAGGCAATGAGTTTGCCTCTCTTTACTGGACTTTGTAACCCGTTAACATTCAGAGTTATTACATTGTACTCTTGCATTTGTTTCTATGTATATTTAGCATCTCTATATTGTAAACCCTGGGTGACTTTAACATGGTAACACAAATAACGAAAACATCTAACTCTTGAACATAACAAATGGCTTCCATCATCGAAGTTACTTATAGAAGTAAAAACAAAGTTGGAGAGGAAGATACCTTCGATGAATGAAGGGCCTCTCCCGCGTAAACTGAAATACCTCTGTATGAGTGTGTATTTCAGTAAACACGAAGGGCGACGTTCTAAACTCCCAGATAGAAAGGTTTCTTGTTTTACATTATATAGGCTATGGTTTCCCACCCTAAGGAACACTGTGATTTTGTATCATAGGCACACCTTTTAAGGAGCCAGCATAAACCACTAAATAAACACTGTGGCAGTCCCTTGTCATCTATGTGTATTTTCTTACAACTGTTTGGTAAATGATCTTACCAAGGGAATGTCCAGATACGTGTGTGTGGAAGGGATGCTATTTTGTGAAAAGGTATCACCGGTGTCACGTTGAAATCCCCGGAGGTTTTTCCGCGCTCTCTCTCTGTATGCGTCCCGGTTCAGGCGCGTAGGCACCGTCTCTCAAGAGATTATTTTCAGCTTCTCCAGGGATGCTGCTGGAGTAGCGGAGCCAGCGTCCCCGTCACTTCTTGCGATCTAAAAGTGCAGAAGTGTTAGAATCAAAATAGCTACTTTGAATGATTGTATGATAATCGATTATACTTCACATCATCAATCCAAATCTGTAAAGTAACTAAAGGTACAAAATAAATGTAGTGGAGTAAAAGTACACCATTTACCTCTGAATTGTAGTGGAGTAGAAGTACAAAGTAGCATAACATGGAAGTACTCAACTAAAGTACAAGTATCTAAAAATTGTACTAAAGTATACTTTACTTGAGTAAATGTATTTAGTTACTTCCCACCTCTGAAGGTAGCTAATGGGAGAAGACCCTGTCCTGTAATAGAATGTAATTGGTTCTACTTCCTGGTAGCTGACCAGTGCAACATTATGCTGTATTAGATAACAGTCTTGGGTAAGTTTCTAGAAACATCAATTATCTCTTTGCTCTCGAGCACTTCTGTGCTGTGGTGCTGCGTGCCTGAATAATGAAAAAAGAAGCGGTGATTATTTGGTCTGTCCCCCCTCGTTTGGAAGCTTCACTGTTGAAAGGATTGTCATCAGAAAGCCGACTGGTCAATTGGGTCATGGCTCTCAGCCGTGTGACAAGAGCCGAGAGTTCAAAAATCCTCATCCAGAATTGAGAAGTTTGTCACTGAATCTGTGAGAAAGAGCCTGTCACAAGCCATTAAACCCTATGAAAGGCCCAGTGCACCGGCGATGGGTTCAGGTCCTCGCTGCCTGGTTAATCTGAATTTGCCAGCCTTTGTCCTTCCCCCTTCATGGACAATGAGCTGATTACAAGGCTGAGCAGCTGCAGTGAGGGAGGTAGAGAGGGAAACGAGAGGGAAACGAGAGGGCATGAAGAGGGGGAGCAGACAGGGAGGAAGGACGGATAGACATGTGACAGCATTCTAAAAAAATACTTAACAGTCGTGGTTTTGTTAACATGGAGCCATTCAAGAATGTCAATAAACCAGTGTTTTAGAGTCTTTAAGATAAGTGATGAGTCACAGAAACCTGAACGTCTCATTATGAATACATATTTTCCCCACCTTTACCTTAATATCAATGAGAGGAAGACCCCTTATTTATAGATGAAACATTGCAAGATATCCTCATGATAAACTTTCAAATTAAACCTCTGCCATGTTTTTGTTTTCTACATGCAGCAACTTTTAAAAGATATGGCTGGTTTTTATGACATTTTCCCCCTTTAAGTCACAAATGTAATGTAAGGACAAAATCCAACAATGTATAAGTCGGTCAATGTCCATGGAGTTCAGTCACCCAAGCCCATTGAATACTACTAAAAACCAAAATCTTAAATATTTTGTATATTCAATATATATTGAAGTAAATACTGTACCAGCTAAATGCTGTATTTTGTAGCAAATGTTGCTCCAACAGGAGGAAGCGGTGCATTTGTCTGGGATTATTTTCTGCTGCAGATTAATATATATTTGGTGTTGTAGCGAATCTTTATGGCATCAGGCGGCTTTCTCTACAGTGTGTGTTCATTATTGTTTTTTTCATAGGATAGTTCTATAGCATATAGCACAGGAAAAAGACAATATATGTTTTGACATTAAACAGAAAGTTGTAGGAACCAAAGGTGGAGCAAAGACAAAATAAATGTAGAGATTCTGAGTCACTACATGTAAACTGTCTGTGTTTGTTTTTAAAGGGTCAGGTGACGGACACTAATCGAAGGCTCCAGGAGTCGGGGAGGGAGGTAAGTCCACGTATGAGTGTATGCATGAATGTGCAGAGGACAACAAGTGTGCTTTTTGTTGTGCAAAGACAGTTGTGCATTACACATGACCGTTCTTTAACCCAGTAGTGAACAGTGGAGGCCTCTCTCTCATTGTTTCCTTCCATTGTGTGTTCCTTCCCTCAGGTGACGTGTCAGACAGAAGAGGTGATTCGCTGCCGCATCCAGCAGAGGAACATGGCCACCACTGTGGAGAAGCTGCAGCTCTGTATACCAGGTACCACTGCTGCATGTGTGTCAAGATGATGGTCCCTTTATTCTAGTTAGTCATCTGTGACTTTAGGGTGCCACTGGAGTCCATGTATGTGTGCAGGTAGGAATGTATATAGTATTTAGTGGAAATGGAGGATTTGAAATGAATTATTTTCTAATCAACCCTGCATTCTCAGTTAGTCCCTGCATATAACACATCCCAGTATTTGGAGCAGTGTGCAACTATTATAAGGCGCCAGGGGAGCGGTGTGGATGTCTGGTGCCTTGCTCAAAGGCATGCAGATTTATTGCCAGACAGACAACCCTCCTGTTACGGTAGACTTGTTAGTTAGCCACTGTTTTGAGTTAATAGTAAAGTATAAACTTTAATATAACTTCCTGTCTTGGGTTGGTCAGACACTTTAGTCTAGCATGTGTTATCTTGTATGCACAGTAAATTAGCTATTTTGGAGAAAAAGTAAGTGAATGGCTTCAAGTACTGATCCTGTTACTGATCCTGTTTCCCGTCTTGTCTTCCTTTTCAGTGCTAGAAATGTACAGCAAACTAAAGGAGCAGCTGGAGTCCAAAAGGTATCCATAACTAAGCATTTCATCACGATGTGACTCATGAACACTAATATTAAAACAACTTCAGAGGTGTAATACTCTTAAAGTTCCCAGATTACATCACACTATCTATAATCTTGCTTGCCTTATCAACTATTGGTGACAGCACCCCTTTCCCATCAGTGTCCAACTGTGAGGTACCATAGGCTATAGCACTATAGTGCCATGCTACTACCCAGCGCGGCACACTTACAAGTATATGAGATCAACTGAGGTGTAGCATGGTACTATATATAAATATATATGTATATATAATGACTATATATACAAATGTACTAGTATACTAAATATACTTTGAAAAAGCATGTTGTTGCCAAAGGTTCAACAGAGTTTTCCCTTTCAAGAATTTAGGACCCGAAAGAACCAATGAAAATAACAAATTAAAACAATGATGAAAATCAAATTTCACACAGCCTGAGAAGTACAACAAAATATACATTTAAACAAACATGAACCAAACAAAAACTCAAAATGCATGGTTTACCATGCGAGTTAAAACCTTGTAAACGTGATTTAGTCCATGAAGAGGTAGTTTGTCATCCATATAAAGTATAGAGGATTTCATCCATATAAAGTAAAGTATGAGTATATATATTTAGTAAATGGAACAAATATTATCAAAAAAGTATTACATTTGAGCCCCAGCCTTAAATGTACGAGTATAAGTGAGGCTGGCTGTGGTCAGAGTTTAAACTTTGAACCACAGTAGGCAGTAATAGATTGCTTACTAATCTGGTATTAAATGACTGAAGTAACTAAGTAAATGGAGATGTAAATCTAAATAGCAAACTATATACATGTTTCCGTTTCCATTCGAAACAACTGCTTTAGCAAAGAGCTAACAGAGTAATCAAACATCCTACCGAACCAATTGTGGTAAAAATGTTTTTTTACCCCATGAACTTCATGTTTGGTCGTAAATACATCAGGGGAGGAGAGTTCACTTAGGACAGGAAAATAATGACCCTTCCTTGTTCATTACTGTGTACCAAAGGAAAAAGGCCATTCACTAGCAGGACAATTGACCCTCAGTGTGCCCTTGTTCACAACAAGGCCCCCTCACTGCAGCCCTGTCACGACCCTCAGCCAATCCAAGGCAATTAAACCATGCTGACCACCTTGTGGGATTTGTGTTTGTGTGTGGAGTGTATTTGAAGCACTAATGACATAGCCTAAACACTTACGACAAATTGGGATGAGTTTGTATGGTGCAAATGCACATTATTTCCTGCGCGGTATGTGCCAATGCCCAGGTCACATTCTGTCCAATGCCCAGCCACTTGCAGGCTTTGTGTTGTCCATCCTGGAGCTCTGCACTCTGACAAACCTTTTCACTGTACACTTTATGAGGCTGTCTTCTGTTCATGTGTAGACAACACATTTTACACTCACTGACCGACCAATTAGATCCCTTCACAGCCTGCCTATCAGACTAATGATGGGAGCCCAGCACACTGACCCAAGGCTGAACCCTGGTGATGTGTGCACACTATGAAAGAGCACAACATCTTTGTAGCACAGGTGGCCCAATGAATGAAATACAACAATTAACTGCATGCAATGTATTAGACGTGCATGTGGCTTTATGATTGGCTTGTTGTGCACAAGCCCATTAGAAGAGGATCTAAATGAGACAGCACTAACCCAATCTATTTTTATTAGGGCTGTCAATTTAACGCGTTAATAACGCGCTAACGGAAAAAAAAATTAACGCCACTAATTATTTTAACGCGATTAACGCATGTGTATTTTTTGTCCTCGGCCGCCCCGTAGTTTCAGAGCGCATCGAGTTTAAAATACCATCTACAAGCTGATGCTGACAGCCCCGCTCCTGCCGCCCGCTTGTGGCAGACCACACTTCCACGCTCACCGGCAGGCCCGGACTGGCCATCGGGAGGACCGGGAGGGTGTGTGTATGTGTGGAGCGCGAGCGAGGCACACCTTACGTGTTGTTGTTGTTAGCATCTGGTGCTAGCTAGCTGAGCTAACGGATATAAGGAGCTGTTTCAATGAAAACAGAGGAGCGACATTTCGCCGACAACTGCGCCGAGCACTTGACTTTATGCAGGTAGCCAGACAGTGGGACATTGTACGAAAAGTCAGCACACTCAGCACGGATAGTGCGCGCAACATGATTGCAGCGTCCAGGCAGCTCCCGTTCGAGCATATATGCCTTGAGCTGCACATAGCTCCAACGATCCATCACAGTGTCTCCACATTCACACACACACACACACACACACACACACACACACACACACACACACACACACACACACACACACACACACACACACACACACACACACACACACACACACACACACACACACACACACACACACACACACACACACACACACACTTTGTATTGTATTATTGTATGAGAGAGGTTCCAGGTTGAATTGAGGCGAATATTTGTAATGTTCAGGTTGTTGTGTTTAATATTCATGAGAATATTTGTCATTGTTCAAATGATAATAAACAAACATATAAAGCATATTTGTCCACTCATATGTTGATAAGAGTATTAAAAATATCCCTCTAAGGTACATTTAGAACAGATAAAAAATGTGCGATTAATTTGCGATTAATCGCGATTAACTATGGACAATCATGCGATTAATCCCGATTAAATATTTTAATCGACTGACAGCCCTAATTGTTATACTATACAATTTGAATACATTAGTCTTATATCCTTTAGGTGTTCTCTCAGAACAATAGCCGCGTTCACACCAAGTACTTTGCCGTACTCAGTGCCGGCACTCAGTGCCCCGGCACTTATTACCCCAGGGCACTTAGTACAGATCGCGTTCACACCGGAATAAATTCCCTGAGGGAAGATTACGCAAATGAGCCGCTGACGGAGTTGGGGACTGGCTTCAGTAGAAGCTGCTGGGACTCCCAGCAGCTTCTACTGAAGCCTTCCGAGTAAATCGCCAGAACGCCGACACCTCCTCATCTTCACCGCTCCCATGTTTTATTTTGTGTTGCCATAAGTTAGTCTCTCTGCATTTGTGCGCTGGGCGAATGCTAATGCTAATAATGCTAATGCCAGGATAATAAAATGGCAGCTCTACAAAACATTTCAGAGTTGTACGGGGCGTGGTTTGCAATTCGCCCAGCCAATCAGAACTGGGGCACATTTTTTCCCCCAGGAAAGTACCATCTCTCAGCAGGCACTAAAAATGGGGGTAAAAGTTCCCGAGATTAAGTGCTCTTTTTGGTGTGAACGCGACATAAGGGGTACTAACGGCACTAAACGCGAAAAGTACGGTGAAAAGTACTCCGGTGTGAACGCGCCTATTGTCATCCTGACTATCCCGTTTTACATTTTTCTGCTGTTAGTAGACGCTGCTGGGAGTCCCAGTTGCTTCTACTGAAGCCAGTCCCCAACTCCGGGGACTTCCGGCCGGGGACTCCGGGTGGCAGTATACACCGTGAAGTGGTTTGCGGCCTGCCAGTAAACCCAAAGCAGAAGAAGAAGAAGTGACGTCAGCGGCTCATTTGCGTAATCTTCCCTCAGGGAATTTATTCCGGTGTGAACGCGATCTGTACTGAGTGCCCTGGGGTAATAAGTGCCGGGGCACTGAGTGCCGGCACTGAGTACGGCAAAGTACTTGGTGTGAATGCGGCAATGTGTTTTTAAAAACCTGGTTCATATATAATCGGGCAGCCTACTGCTCAGTGAAACAAACACAAAGGGATAGGTTAATATGTTTCCATGTCTGTCTTAAAACATTTGTCAGGTTTCCTGTCCTGTACATTGACATTTAAATTCATTTCTGTCCATGTTGGCCATTTAAAGGAGTACTCAAGTGAATTAAAATTGCCCTCATATTACACAGTTGGAATCATGACGGACCATTAAAAGACATTTTAGTATGAATTATAAGAAATGCAATATGAAATTCCCTTTTAGGGGTTTCCCAGACAGTGCTTGATTTCTAAACTTCAATGAAGGAAGAATTATTTATTTGACTTTATCAGAGGGTGGAGACTCAAATCATCTTCAAGTAAATGTTGGAATATATCCATAGCTGTGATTGCATCCTAACTGCAGCTCTATTGTTTTCCTCTGCAGATACTATGCTGCGTTGAAAACCATGGAGCAGCTGGAAAAGGTCTTCATCCCCAGGTAGGATCATTATATTAAACCGCTGTAGTGTTTGTAGCTTAGATCATCATTGGTGATTCATAGTTATGGCAAAATCACGTGTTGCAATCTTAGAAATCTCTCAAACGGCAGCATGATTCACTTTGCTGTTGATGCTCACTGTGTTCCAAACATATTGGATGAACGTATTGGATTTATCAGAACTGCTGCTAGAGACGAGGTTGGATATAGAGTAAGGAAAAAGCTAACTGAACCCATATAGTAAAAATGCTAACATTAAACCTAAGTAAGGAGCTAAAAGAGACCTAACAGTTCTGTAGCGATGAGGGGACCTTCAAAGTTTGTGATCATATTCTGTGACAGCTTTCACATTACACATGGTAAACAATCATTGTGTATGTCAAATATTGATTAGTGCAGCTTTAATATAGATTCCTTCTTCCGCCTTAAAAAGCTGTTGCAGCAGGAATTAAAATCTAATTAAGAAATCCATTATGCCATTTTATGGGAAGTTTGAATTTGTATAAGTCTTTTCACATTTAATAGAAATAAGATGAATCTGCTTTTGTATTGCATTATTTTACATATAAAATGATACAATGCTGGTTAGATTAGATAGTATGTTATAAAGTGGACCCAACTGGACTGGTTCTGCTGTCTCCTGCAGGGTGAGTCAGTACAGGTTCTGTCGGATCATGGCTGAAAACCTGCCCAGACTGAGAGAAGAGATCAAGGAGATCTCCATGTCGGACCTCAAGGACTTCCTGGAGAGCATCAGAAAACACTCGGACAAGGTCGGAGAGACTGCCATGAGACAGGTATGAGAGGTTGTGTTTCAATAAGTCCCACAATAGAAGTGAACATGTATTGTTCAGCTCTCTGATGTGTGTGTGTGTGTGTGTGTGTGTGTGTGTGTGTGTGTGTGTGTGTGTGTGTGTGTGTGTGTGTGTGTGTGTGTGTGTGTGTGTGTGTGTGTGTGTGTGTGTGTGTGTGTGTGTGTGTGTGTGTGTGTGTGTGTGTGTGTGTGTGTGTGTGTGTGTGTGTGTGTGTGTGTGTGTGTGTGTGTGTGTGTGTGTGTGTGTGGACCCTGCAGGCCCAGCTGCACAGGACCTTTAACAGCGCAGTAGCCAAGCAGGCCAGTACGGGCCACTACACCAAGCCTGTGTACACCCTCAACGGACAAACACACACTCACAACGGCCTGATGATGGATGAGGACACGGGAGATGAGGATGAAGGAGATGAAGAGGTGAGGAAACCTTCTGTGTAGTTGTGTGAGATAGAAATAGAAAGTGATCAAACTATAATGACACTTGCCCCTTTGTGTGTATGAGTTTCCATTATCTTGCTACTTCACAATTGGGTACCTGTTTTCATTGGTTGCTGTTTTTTTTAATAATTTGTAGATCATATAAATGTATTGGAAATGTTAAAAATATATATATATTTGTTTCTCATGTTGTCTTACAGATTCTTACTGCTCAGGACCTAGTGGACTTCTCGCCTGTCTACAGGTGTTTACACATTTACACAGTGCTGGTAGGTGTCTCTCTGGTCACACACACACTCACAAAGACACACACTCATCCATAAAAAGGATCATAGAAACGATTTTGTGTAGAAGTGTATTATTCCAGAATTGAACATGATGATTAAATGAACTCCTTGCGTACCTCTGCACACAATGTACTGATGACTTCACCTCAGAAACTGAAATCCAAGTCCATAACAGCAGAACACTTTTACAAATTTGATCCAAGCCCTATTCACACTTAAAACAAAATGTATTTAGTTTTAAGTGTGAATAGGCCAAGTAGCAACATTAGATATATAACACTATACTTTATTTTACTTTTCAAACAACAAAGACTGTATTATTTCATTTTCAAATATAGATGCTTAAATGTTTATCTTTCACTTTCTCCACTATGATTTTCAAATGTACCCACTATGCTCAAATATCCATATTTCCTCCGCCATCATTTTTTGATTTTAATATTTATTTCTTTGTCATTGTCAGTAAAGTTCGAAGATGTACTAAAACGTTTGTATTTCTCTGCAGGGTGACCGAGAAACATTTGAGAACTACTACAGGAAACAGAGGAAAAAACAGGCCCGGCTCGTCCTGCAGCCACAGGCTAACATGGTGAGCCACAAACACACATGCAGATTGAATTATACATCCTATGATTTGTATAGAAGCAGTATCATGAATCACCCATACTGCATATTCATCAATATACTGTATTTATATTCCATTATTTATGGTTGATATCCCTGACGTCAACAAATGTTTATTTTCAAGCAGCTTTGACTCAAAGACTTAACAAGTTGATATGCAATTTATTAACAACAAATAAGGCAGCAATAACTAGACACTTTCAGTCATTTACTTGAATAATGTTTCACTAAAAACATTGATTTGTGTGTGTGTCCAGCATGAGACAGTGGAAGGCTACAGGAGATACTTCAATCAGATTGTGGGGTAAGATGTTCCTCCCTTTTTCTCTTCATTGTCACAGTACAACATTTGATTTTAACATTACAATCTGTCTGTCAAGTTTATGTCAGTCAGCCACATGTGAACATAAATATAAATCCTGATATGTGTGTGTTTTCTGTGTGTCAGGTTCTTCGTTGTGGAGGACCATATCCTTCATGCCACGCAGGGGCTGGTGACCAGAGCTTTCACTGATGAAGTGTGGAACATGGCCCTGTCCAAGATCATCGCCGTGCTGCGCACACACTCTGTATGCACACACACACACACACACACACACACACACACACACCAGTGGCGAGCCGTTAGGGCCCTCTAGGCCCTCTGTGAGGGCCTAAGATATTCCAAAAAATAATATTTAAAAACATTAAAAATATATATATTTTTTTTAAATATATATTTTTTTAATATTATTTTTGTTATATTTTTCATTAGTTTTACCGAAAAAAAACTTGATTTAATAAAATAACATTTCCAAATAAATAAATCCTTCGAATCTGCCTGTTCAGTCTCTGTTTGAATGTCAGTTACTATAGCGGGCCTCTCTGCGATTCACAGAGGGCCCGCTATAGTAACTGAACGAGAGAGTAATGTCAAATGACAGTACAATTGACCAATCATATCTTCCCTCTAAATGGGTGGGTTTTATTATCGCGGACTTTATGACGAGTTCCGCCCGCTGTGAAACTGTTCTTGTTTCCATAGCAACAACAACTTCCTGTCAACAGCGTGAACTCGCCTTCAAAATAAAAGCATGCCAAATTACACTTAAGACATACAACTGCAATGAAAGTAACAAACACAATGCAATATCATTTTCAATGTCAAAGAACACAAATTGGGATCACAGGTGTTGTTTTGTGTGGTAGAGGGTCGCTGTCATTGATGCGTTTTGCACCCTGGGCCGTTGTTTTGATATTCCGCTGAAGTATACGCTGTGACGTACTGTAATAATGTCTTTTTTTCGAAGGAAGGGGTGGGGGTCAGAGGGCCTAGGTATAAAGCTCACGGCTCGCCACTGACACACACACACACACACACACACACACACACACACACACACACACACACACACACACACACGCACACGCATGACACATACAGTAACAGAGCAGGGAGTGGACAGTGAATGAGAAGGGGACTGTTCAGAGTTAATAGAGATAATAGAGCCTGCTGTGGATCTATTTATCCTGCAAGAACCGTCATTCACTTGCTGATACACACACACACACACACACACACACACACACACACACACACACACACACACACACACACACACACACACACACACACGAGACACTGTGGAGGTCAGCGCACCCACAAACACACTAATGATGTCACTCTCAAGAGAAAAGGTCAAAACACACATACGCATGCAGCCAAAGAGGAGGTCATTGGGGCCTTAATGAGAGACAGATTGCAACAATAACAGCAGATTAAGCAGGCATATTCCTGACCGCTGGGCTCCAGTCAGTTGTAAATGACCCAGAGGATTATGCTAACAAGCCAGAGAATGGGCCGCACAGCGTGGGGTGAGCAGACTAACAAAGGCCCTGGTCTCCCTCGGGGCCTCCAGGGCCACGACACCGCCAGGGTCCGACCTTACAACCACGGCATGGTCAGCCCACAGGCAGAAGAAAGGGTTTTTCACAAACCTGTCCATGCAACGCCCCTTCTAATTCACCGTCAAATGTCAACGATTTTATTGCACATAACAAAAGGTGTTCATGCTGTTAGTTCTCACACTATTGGAATACACAAATTCCTCACAATTTGTTTTATTCGTAAACAGTTAGAAAATACAATTATAAGACATAATGGAGATATGTGAAATGGGACAGCTTGCTAAACTATTTCAAACTAGGAACAGGGGCTCCGACACTAAACTAAAAGTATTTACAATATAAATGACTAATAAATCTAGAATATAAAAGAGTTCATGTATTATACAGAGACATTTACAAGCTAAAAAAACAAACTCTAACACTAACTAAATGCCCGGAAAACTAATAATCAATTATATAGTTATAATTATAATAAAAATAATCTAACCCTAAATACTACATTCATTAAAACAACAAATTGAAGAATGCACTTTTAATTAATACCAACGTCATGTCATATTCACATATAGCATGGATGAGAGCATTATACCAACAGACTCATAAAACTGTCCAAACTGGTGGTATACATTAGTACCACTGCTGTGATTGCTGCTGTGTAGTGCAGTCTCCAGCTGATTGTTGGTGTGTGTATGTGTGTGTCTGCGTAAACAACAGGCAGCCGGCCGCTGCTTTAAGTCAAATCTCAGGCTGTGTTCATTTACTCTGGTGATTTACACACTCCTGTGTTTGGCAGGATCCTTGTTAGAGTGAGGGGACTCAACTGTGCTGCTTTCAGGGTCGTAAATCACTCTGCACGTAGGAAAAATGGAGACACCTTGTTGTTCTTGATTGACCCTTAGCTTAGCACCTCCCCTATTAATGTTGCTACGCCTGTCAAGCTTTCTATTATAACACTATGTACACAGTTTACAGGGATAACTGTGGAGGATGTGTCTCAGATTCATCTTTGTAGCATTGGAGCTGTGGGTAAATTGCCACTGAATACTGATGAGCAGTCTGGCACCTTGTATAGCATCAGTGTAGAAATATGTGTGGATGGTTAAATGATGGCATGCAGTGTAAATGCTCTTAGGTGCTTGCCCCACGGGAACGCATACGGCAAAACGCATAGGATTAACGCAATCGCAATCGCAAAAAAGCTTCCGTCCACACGCAATATACACCGGATAGTGTCTGTTCACACGAGACAGCTCCGTTTAGCTCCAACCGCTGGAAAAAGCTGCAGTACATATGCCGAGCCTGTACGTGGCGCTGTAACTTCCTCCACAAAAGCAGCGAAGAAGCATGGTCGTCATGGTTGCCCTTCTGTTTATTCTCCGTGGTGGGGGCCGAGGGAACCGGGCAGAGTTTTTCGCCGGTCAACGTGTGTAAAAGTTTAAATCTTCCGGACAAAATTATAAAAGTGCCGGTCAAAGGTCTTCTTTGTTATTTATTGAGCTTTAAAACAAATGAATAACGACTATATATAATAATAAAATACACGGAGCCTGGCCTCTCTTTTTCCTCTCTTCTGACAGTGTCAGTGTCTGTCTCATGCAGCAGCTGATCCAGTAATGAGTGACCTGACAGTAAAAATGAACATATTTATAACTAGTTTAGGTAGTTTGAGAGGTAATTAAAATAGCTAAGGGTGATGATCTGACTTGAAGTGTGTGTTTTGCTCCCGCTGCATCACAGCGGGAGGAGCTGCGTGTCTCCGTCCTGTCAGATTAGACTTCACTCGCGTTTATGTCCATATCGAGATAAAGATACATAATCTGAATTCAGTGTGCAGTGTACTTTTGCGGGGGTGAGCAGCAGAGGCGGGGAGAGGCGGGGCTATTGCATCATCATTATCACAAAATGATCGTATAGAGGCGATCACACGGAGCCGTTGGACCCCCCCAGAGCGCTCCGTTCCCAGATCTATCCACCTTTGGACCCGTTATCGTTTGCGGGGTCCGTTTCTATCGTTTAGTTACGGCCTCGTGTGGAAAAAAGGGCTATACGCAAGAGAAATATGCGGATACAACCCGTTTTCGTTCCCGTGGGGCACCAGCCTAAGTAGTTGAAGGGTTAGCAAGGCACCATTTAAAATGCAAATCCTCCTACCATTCACCATGATAATACTTTTTGACCAGAGGTTTGACCATTATCTCCTGCATACAAAATGTTTAAATATGAATTGTAATTCCTATTATTTTTTGTTATTTTTACAATATATAACAATTCAGTACATTTAGATCTATCTATTTATTTGTTACATTTTATTTTACAGAGTTAGGAAAGCAGTGTTTAAGTCAAGCTTGATGATGCCTAACAAATGATCCCAGTCTCTTCATCCCAGTGAGACATACAGCTTATTAATGAAACACTGATAACATATAACGTGGGATGAGTGCACCCCTGAACATACATTTGATGTACTAAAAACACCAATACGGAGGTTAGAGTGGTGTGTTATTGTTGCAGTTAACAATAACAACAACTGCTGTTTTTCCGATCGCATGCCTTTAGGTGTTGTTTGCTGATTATGATGTTTGTTATTCCCAGTCGTACTGTGATGACCCAGACCTGGTCCTGGAGCTGAAGAACCTCATAGTCATCTTTGCTGACACACTACAGGTTGGTTCACAATGTGCTGTGCTTCATTTGGACATCTCCATAAGCATGCAGAGCAACTGTGATGAACACACATGATTTTCTGTGTGTGTGTGTGTGTGTTCAGGGTTATGGATTCCCAGTGAACCGGCTGTTTGACCTGCTGTTTGAGGTCAGAGACCAGTATAATGAAACTCTGCTGAAGAAGTGGGCTCTGGTTTTCAGGTGAGCTTTGATCATGGGTCTGTCTATAACTATTTTCTGTTCTTCATTTTACATGTTACATTTTAACATTAAACCCAGCTGTAAGCAATTTTGCGAAGACATTTCTTGCAATGATAAAGAGTTACTTTAGACATTTTTCTCTCAGAACATTTGTAAAGCGTTGTTTTCTGGCTCATCGTACTGTAAGGTGCATGTAGAGGTCCTAAAAGTTTCAAACTCAGACAACACTTGTAGAATTAAGAACAGCAACACACGTCGCGAAATGTCGCAGAGAGAGAGATTCGCAAAGCTCCAATACTAACCCAAAATGTAAATGTGCACACATTAAATTGTGTTTTTTTCCACAGGGAGATCTTTGAGTTGGACAACTACAGTCCCATCCCCGTGGAGACAGAGGAGGAGTATATACTGGTTGTCAGCCGCTTTCCCTTCCATGATGCTGAGATAGAGAAGGTAACAAGTTCAAGTGCTTTACACTGACCAAACTGCAGCACAGTTTCAGAACACATGTTTCTTTTAACTCGCTCAATCAAATCAAGTAGATCAGAATTCTACTGCCACAAAGTGCATTTTGACTTGCCCCTTTGGAAATCTTTATTAATAAAGACTTAAGTTAATTGTCATGTTTAATCTTTGGTTAAGGCAATGAATGTAAAAAAAGCCCCCCTTCAACCAACACCCTCTTACCCTCCCTTACTTTCCACTGCAATTAGATTTATAGAACCATAAACATTGAAGCAAAAAAAGTGACATTTTAAAACGGAGTGTATAATAGATAATGAGTCAATTAATACTGTCATTCTCTGTGTTTTGTTCGCGTGTGTGTAAGCAGCAGGACTTTCCAAAGAAGCTGCCAATGTCCCAGTCCGTCCCTCAGATCTACACGCAGGTCAAAGAGTTAATCTACGCAAGCCTCAAGTTCTCTGAGTCTCTACACCGGAGGTTGGTCCACACAACATTAACATGGGTATACTTTGAGTATTTTAGAGCAGATTCTAGAGCACTTCTATAGTGCTAATCATTTTTCTTTTTGTTGTACAACTAAATATCTAAAATGAATAGACAGAACATTTGTTTGTGTGTCCAGTTCAACAGAGATCGATGACATGTTGCGGAAATCCACCAACCTGCTGCTGACGAGAACACTCAGCAGCTGTCTGCAGAACCTCATCAAGAAACCTCACATAGGACTGACCGAGGTATGAACCACTACTGTTACAGAGCACAATCACACACACTGTTATTAAGTCTAACAATAAGTCTGAAGCTGTTACCTTGTTTCTCTAGCTGGTGCAGATCATCATTAACACCACCCACCTGGAGCAGGCCTGCAAGTATCTGGAGGAGTTTATAACAAACATCACCAACGTCTCCCCTGAAACAGTTCACACCACAAGACTCTATGGCTTGTCCACGTTCAAGGTAAATGTGGGTTTGGATTGTTCTTTGTCAATTATTGAGTTTTCATTGGTTCTGCTTGTCTATATGTTCACAAGTGTTGCAAGGGATGAGAGAACGAATCATTTACTTTGGTTTCCAACCTGGTGACAGGTTGGAATGTGATTCCACCCACACCAAATTATTGCAAAGTCTCTTTTGATCTCAACTGAAAGTCAAAACATTGATCAGTTCTGTTCTGAACATATGTTGTTCTCAGTACTGGCAGAAGACTGTCCGACACTGTAACCATACTCTGTTTTATAAAAAAAGGGAGAAAAATGTAATTAATATGGTCTGAAGTGCTAAAATGCTAGCATAATAGCTAGCGGTACACTTCTCAGGTTTGCGTTTCGCCAAGTTGTCTCTATATTCCTTATACAGTTATGATATACAGTATAACTGTATTGAAACATGTATTAAGTCCTATCAGTCTGGTAATAGTGGCTTATAAAATCAATTCCAGGATGCTCGTCATGCTGCAGAGGGAGAGATTTATACCAAACTCAACCAGAAGATCGATGAGTTCATCCAGCTGGCGGACTATGAATGGGGGATGGCTGAGTCTGACGGGCGAGCCTCAGGATACCTCATGGACCTGATCAACTTCCTGCGCTCCACCTTCCAGGTCTTCACACACCTCCCGGTGAGTCTGACCCACCAATCGTTGACACACTGATTGTCTTTGAACTGTCGGTACAAAGTCTTTTTAGTTTTTGATCACATCTTATCAGCTTTTGATGGTGTTTGGCAGTTTCCATTGTGTCTTGTTGTTAGTAGGGATGTGATTTTCTTTTCTTTACATTTCCCCGTAACCCCACCTGTTTTCCTGGTGTTTTGCTACATGTCCATCACATCCTTAATAAAAATGTGTGTAGAGTTTTACATTGTTAATTTAAGGGTGTTTGGTAATGTGTCTGTATGCATGGTTAGTGTGCTGTTACTGACTGCTTTTGCACACACTGCCATTATGTTCAACAAGACATATTTAGTGATATCAAAGGGTTAAAGGTCAGTTAATGTGTTTTAATAGCACAGATACAGCTTGTTGAGTTCCACTCCTGCATTTCTCTCCAACGTCTCTTTTCCTGTCTTGAATAAATTATAGATTATTTTTATAAGAATGTCTGCTTTCCCCATTAACCGCCCTTCTAATAAGCAGCGCTGTTACTAATTTGTTTTCCTAGCAGTTTTATTCCTTGATTAATTTGACTTACCAAGCATGAAAGCTATCTCTAGTTGAATTTACCTCCTCCTGTCCATTTATTGTTGCCACATTTCTTTTCCTGTCCTTTCCCTCTTTTCCTCCCCTCCTCCATTTTTGGTTGGTTTTGGGGTGTCTCTGCTCAGAATAACAACAATGACCATGCATCGATGTCGGTGAGTATTCCTGCCTGGCTGTTACAACACTATGCTGCCATACACAGGCAGAGGGGAGATGTGAAGCATGCTAATGTTTGACTGTAGACGCTCCACTACTTTAGGCTTGTTGATTGTTCAGACACCTGTGGTAACCCTTCACGCCACGCGGATGTGCGCGTTGTTCCATTCATAACACACACGCGTCGGTCTGGAGTTCCATGCATGTGCATTTACTGATCCACACTGCATTATGTCTAATTCCATTTATCATTGTATTTCTTAAAATGACATTTAGATGAATCTTGGTAACGTCCATAACGGTAAATCTCCCCACACACCTATCTACCTCTATAAAACAATCACTTAGTTTTTCATTTGTTACTTGTTTTATTCCATGAACATGCCAGTGGTGCATACACCACCAACTGGACTGGGTTATTTGAACAACATTTTCTGTTTTTACAGTTTAAAGATTACAGTCAATGCAGTCACACATGTTGGGCTGCGCGCGATGATGTAATTTGCATCCCCAGGCCCATGGTGGACCGATGCAGAAAATATGAATTTGCTTTTACACATAATTTCCACATTGGGATAGTTGGGTGCTTATACTTTAGTTTTAGTTTTGACTGTTTAAGAGAATGTATAGCATATGGCCAAGGAACCATAATGTAAGGCATTCAGTGCACTCTTTTGCCCTCATACAAATGTTGCCATTTTTTTACAAGAAACCAATTTCTATCCAAACGGAAAAGGACACTGGTACAAGTGAATGCAATTCTTCAATAAATAAAAGTGTTTAAGCGTAAATGATAGTCAGTGAGACTAAACACCTAAAGACCAAAATGGGCTGTGACAAGAACTGGCTCCTTATTGCAGCTTGCTAGGAAGGCACCGAGACTAATTCATCCATTCAGCTTTACATTTTGAAGAAAGGCTGTAAATGTACAACTTTAGCATTTTCAGGTTGTTTGTGTAAAGTTCTCTGTCCACATCACATTGGATAAAGCGGCTAATCTCTCTTATCATGCATTGAAGCCATCCTCAAACCATTGTTTTTCTAAACTTATGATTTAGTTGATCTCATTTACATGCTTTTTTTATTCTGACCATCATCACCAAACAGATAAACATAAATACAGTTAAATGGTAGCATCTGTGCTGCTTGATTTGGTGAACTGACATTTCATGTAAATCATCTTCCTAATGTTACAGCTACACATACCATAATGGTGTCTTAGTGTTAATGCTTGGCCAACACAGTTTTCTAAATGAAGCAGGCTTAGTGTGGAAGTACACAGATACTTCCGTCAGTGGCCATGCATGGAGTAAAGTATTTCTCAGTGTGCCACATCTGTGTGTGAATGGTCTCTGAGTTAGCTAGCTGTCTACGCAGCAACTCACTTATAGCAAATGGACAGACCTTAATATTCCTGCCACACCATGTGTCACTGCTCTCTGTCTGCCGGTCACCGGTCAGCATGAAGGATGTTAAAGGGATGTTTTGGAGCTCAAAGAAAGGAAAGCCACAGATTATTCTATTGGTTTTGCAACTAAAACACATTTTTGAAGGTGCCATCAGTGATTCCTGTTTTTACTAGCAAACTATTTATTAAAAGAATCCCTGATTGTCTCTTCAGTGTGTTTTGGGATTTCTTTATGTAACTGTAAATCAACAACATTATTGGCTGTGCATTATCCTTGACATTGAGCTTACCACATCATCCCTGGGTTTTAGAGTTGTTGCATGAGTGTCTGTTGAGCTGCTGTTCTGTTTCTGTGTACCACAAACACTTACTGTAATTAACAGAAACATTCACATGACTGTTAGTGTTCCACACACTTGAGGAAAGGTGTAAGTGATTCAAATCCCACCTGTTTCAATGTGGATCATGTGTTTAAACACCTCAAGTAGTGGAAACGCTCACAATTCGTATTTACTTTGAAGTTGTAAACATGCTGTGGAGTTATGTGGAGTGTTATGCATGTGTTAGGCTATCTGTGTTTTGTCAAATGTGTGATGTTTTCCAAAGAACAAAGTTTGTCAAATGAAAAGCATTGTAATTGGTATTAAAGCTTTTAAGTAACAACTTGCATCATAATGGCCTGTTTCAGAAGCTATCCACGGTAAGGATGGAGTTTATGACATCAAATCCTCCCAAAAAAAGAATAGATGCGCTGTATAATGAATAACTGTTTTTGAATGTGGGGATTCCCTTTCCAAAGTAGCTCTTTATCTGGCTTGATAGAGGCTTGGAAACATATAACATAACATATTTTTGAAATCATTAACTCAACAACACTCAAACCCATGTCAGCTTTGTATACCTTTTTGTCAAAGATTCTTTGTATGCACTTATAGCGTCTATTAATGCAATAACTTGTTAATTTACTACTTGACTTTAACTATAATCCACAACTGTTCTTTGTTAGACATACACTTTGATCCAAAAACATCCAAAAATGTAATAAGAGAGACTTCTCAAGTTAAAGATGCTTCCTTGGTAGGATGGGTCCTGACATTCCTCTAGAACAATTCAGTATTAAAGGACTACAGTTGTAATGGCATTCAACAACATACCTGTGCCACTTGTAGCCCCAAACACACACATGCTCGGTCTTGGTGCTTTTGTGTCAATTATCCATCGTCATTGACTGTTGCAGTTCTTATCAACATAATGCAGAATATTGATAGGAATAAGTGCTTTTAGGCACATCTTTCAGTGTGCACTGAAGTATACATTAGGATACATGGTGTAGAGACATGAGGGGGGTTTGCCTTCAGTGTTCAGTCTTGCTCCTGCTGAGGCTGAAAGGTCTTTCACAAGGTTTGCGGCAGTGACTCCCATTATGGATCAGCTGTTTCTCAAAACAGACTGCGTATGATACAGTATTAGACTAGTCAACTGATCTTTACCATAAAAAGTCTACTCATTATCTGTGCTTCTCATCCTAATATTTCCCACCTTTCCATCTCCCCCTCTTCTTTTTCATCCTCCCATCCTCTGTCACCTTCCTTCTCCTCCTTCCTCCTGTGCATCTCCAGGGTAAAGTGGCCCAGACGGCGTGTATGTCAGCCTGCAAACATCTGTCCACGTCCCTGATGCAGATGCTGCTGGACACAGAACTCAAACAGATCAGCATGGGGGCCATTCAGCAATTCAACCTGGATGTCATCCAGTGTGAATGTAAGTATATAGTATCTAATAGATATTTTTTCACCAGGGAAAAGTGAAACACACAGACAAACAAATATAGACACAATCTAATTTATATGCAAAATACGATTCAGTAAACCAACAGCTTCTCTAACATTTCAAATTCTACAATTCTTTTCATTAAGACTTTAGAGGAGAAGGGAATACATAATGAATCAATCCTGGCCTTTATTGTTCACGGAACATATCACTTTTATCATTCATTTATTATTTGATTTTAAACTATGAATAATCATAAGTGGTATTGGCCTCAAAAGAACATGTGTTGGTCAGACTATAATGACTAACATGCTGTAGTCCTGTTATCAAAATCAATGCTTTCATTAGGGGAATGTTTCAATATGTGGAAGAAACCTGTAGCATCCCATAATCGATGTTATTATTTATAGTCCATCACAATGAAAGTGAAAGTTAGTCTGTTGGTTTTTTTCACTGAGGTATATTTGTATCCCTTTTTTTATCTAGTGTTTTGTTGATGTCCACTGTGATTATATGTGGTCCCATCAATATAAAGCGTACTTTTTTAACACTGATTATGTGCTCTGTAATCTGTGAAATGTATTTGATCGTTGACTGGTGGTATTTCTGCTTCCTCTCAGTGTTTGCCAGCTCAGAGCCGGTTCCTGGTTTTCAAGGAGACACGCTGCAGCTGGCCTTCATCGACCTGCGACAGGTAAACTACAAACTGAGCTGGATTGAATTCATTCACTTATGATGTTTCTCTGTAGGAAGACAAAGCTTAATTTACTGCACCAATTATTATTTCATGGTAGTTATTTCATCAATGTGTGGATTTTCTTGAATTGGAGTAATAACAATCCTGGTGTTTGTTGCCATCTGTGTTGCGTTCAGTCTGTCATCCTCAGGCCACTCGCATACGTTTCATTTCAAAAGGTGTAACTAACTCCTAGCGTCTACACAACGTTTTTGAACCTCTGATACAGGACGTTTTAGTCTTCACCACTTAACAATTATGTTATGAGTGTTATAGTTAAAAGATTCCAGAACTGCCAGAAGAAGAACAGTTTTTTATATTTACTTAAAATGTTTTCCACTTCACGTTTTAACTCTCAGCTGTCCCACATCTTACCTTTTACACATCTCATCAACAATATTGGGTTTAACTGGCCGTCTGTGTGTAACCTTTTCAACTTTCACATGTCCCAAAGTTCACCCGCTCAGGAAACATTCCTATAGCAACACACACGCACTAACCCCCTGCCTCCCTTCTTGTTGTAAACACCAGTGGTATGTAAAGTGTTGCCGGCTCTCATTACCTCGTGTCTTCGCTGACCGGTTAATCTGAGCCTGAGGTGGAGGCTTGGTTCTGAATCCAGTCCAGGTCACCGCGGTACTCAGCACGTTTGTTGAAAGTGCAAAAAGACAAGAGAAGATAAACCAACCTTTCACATTCAAACATTAAGGCAATTCTATTGTGCATTTTCCCAGCCTGTATCAGTTTGAAATCCTAACACAGATAAGACACATAGAGCGTTAGATGCATTTTAGGCATAAAGATGAAGGTCTTAATCAGCCTAGTTAGACAAAAAGGCTAGATCTGGATATGGAGTGCAATGTTATAGTAAAGGCTTTTATTATGATGCAGCAAGTAGAGGAATAAGAACTATTTTTGACTCTTCTTAATCTCTCAAGACATGAGTGTTGTCGAAACAATGCAACAGTTGTAAACGCAGTAGTTGTTATTAAAACTGTGAGCTCTAGATTTTCTATTTCTAATTCCTGCATATGAAGTAACGTTGTTTGGATTCTTTAGTGATCCCAGCAGTTCCCAGTGACCTGCTCTTTGTTTTGGGTCAAGGGGCCTTTTCTATATTTCTGCAACATTTATTTATTTTTTCAACAATACATCTGAGACTGTTACTAAAGTAGCTGATCCATTTTTGCAATATGTAAATCAAATATTGTCATTTTATGTTTCGCAGCTTTTTGAACACAGATGAAACCCCATCATTTTGTTTGTCTTTGTATTTTATAGAAGATAACAGGTTCTAGGGTACACATCCAATAAACACCACAAGATGGATCAACAAAAGCAAAACAAATGTAAACACAAAGTTTATTGTGCAACGTTACGATCTAATGAAGATCTTCGTCTGGCTTCAGAATTCAGAAGTCCTTTATTCGTCCCACAGCGGGACATTTACATTGTTACAAAAATGGGGACAGTGCAGATAAAAACATGAAATAAGAGTACACTAACTTATTAAATAAAGAAGCAAGCACATGTTAATACAATAACAAATGTATAAGTACACATCCCGATAGTAAAGATAACTTGCAGCATTATAAAAGTAATGAACATATAAAAGGAATGATCTAACAGTCCGTAAATAACAGTACCGAATGGTCAAAAGTCAATATTGTTGCTAAACCTCTACATATTTTCATAACCTGAAGTTAAAGTAAACTACAACTATAGTTTAATACACTTGGGTTTTACTGAAGCAATTGTGCTAAGAAACAAGAAGTGCTTCTCAACTCAACTGGTTCCCTCCGATGCAGCTCATTAGACAAGATGTGGCCATGTTCCTTTTATTCAGGCTGCTGGTTGACATGTTAATCCTAGCCCTAGGTGAAGGCTTTGGAGGCTTCCACAGGCCGGGGTGACTCCGAGGTCAGCCTTTACTTTCCCTTTATCTCATGGCTCCTGATTCCATATCTGTAACTGCTTTTTAGATCCTTATCCTCCAACCATTTCAAGTGATTGAACGTCAAACATGTAGGGCTAAAAGGCTTGGAAAAAAGATTTACCTGATAGTATTTGCTGTTGCCTGCAATATAGTTGATGTGCTTACTTAAAACAAATCTTGATCAAGTATATTCTACACTTCAGTTATCAAATCACCTTTCATAAATAACATATGTCAAAAGTCTCGTCAATACAATGTGAAACTTATTTATACAGTATTTCCTTTAAAGTGGCCACCTCAATAACCTGTGCATGACGAATATTTGAGTTTGACTTAATGATATATAAAATCATTTTAGATGCTTTTTTAGGAAAATGAAATGCACTTCTATTATTATAATGCAGCTATTTACTTTTACCTGTACTTAATTGAACTTGTTTAATCCCAAATGCAATGTATAGAAAGGCAGTGAATGCATGTATGATGAACTATACTGAGGGGCAGGTGAATGTTAAGATGAATACAGTTATAGAGGCTAATGCGCTGCTGGTTCGGTATGTGCTTGTGCCGCTTCTTCTTAGTATTTGAAGTGATCAGGTGATTAGGTTAGCAACGCTACAGTATATGCATCATGTGCACAAAACTCCCATTATAGTTGTATGACCTAAATAAAGATCAAGCAAAAGAGAAACCTTTGTTTACAATCCTACACACATGGGGCTAATCCAGGCAACTGTAACGTTACTGTACGAATAGACATGCAACATGTTTGACACACATACACACATTGTCGTTTTTTGATAGTAGTCGTTAGCAGTATTGGTCGCACTGGTGTGTGGATGTTTATGAGCATCTTATTGTCTTAGCGAAGGCTCTAACCAGCACTTACCTGCCCTCCTCTGGTCCTCAACAACACTCACAGCAAGCGTGAATTAGGTAGGTCCAAGGGTTGGTGAGATAATACAAAGTCATATATACACAGATAAAGAGATTTCTGTCGTTTTAGTTTGATCTCTATATGTGTGGTCATTGTGGAGACACACAATACGCCAATGCTTAATAACATATTGTTGTCAATAACATCAACAAGGACAAATATTAAGACAAGATACAAGGAAAACAGACATTTAACATACCATCACTGTCACTAAAGAGACATTTGCATTTGATTTCTGATTTGAATCAGCCTGAATAACTTGTGACAGGACATTTGTGTTAAACATCTGAATTGATTTGGCCAGAAACTGACAGGAAAATGTGACTTTAGTTGACTTTGTTGCTTTGGACAAAAATCATAGGAGGAGAATATATATATATATATATCTGGTACATTCCCTTTTTCATAGCGTATCTCCTGAGGGTATAGGTTTGAATAAATAGGAGTGCTGCTTGGCCCAATATCATGTAAATTGTTGGAGAAAGTTGTGAGTTACCTGTTTACACAATGCTTGCTAACAAGCTTGCAAGTGTTGACATTCCAGCAAGGACAAGCAAACAGTGGCCTCACACTGAGCGTGGCAGTGTGATTGCATGCAAAGTCATACAGCAACATGAATAGATGCAGATTTCACTCTAGGTAATGCAAATTGTGGCAAAGATGCCTTTGTGTGAGTTAAACATGTTCCAGGCCTTTACAAATATCAACATAGAAATCTGATATACAGTATGAACTGATCTTTGTTGTTTGTTTTGGTTTTTTATTGTGACCAACATCCATACTGAGCAGAATGTTTTACAGTGTAAAAATCAACTCTCTGGTTGATATGTAATGGAGATACTTTTCTTTCTCTGCTTGCTGCGCACAAAGGCACACGCATACATGTACCGGGCAGTAGGAGAGCAATCCAGCAGTCCATCATTCCATTTATTTATACAACCTCAATAACAACAAACCTATATTTCCCCCCAATAAAAGGATAGTAGTAATATACTATAATAGTATGTAAATGTTGAAATGATGAAATCAAAAATGACTGTCTCTTACATGTCTGTTAGGGGCTGTATTTACACTGTATTCACGGAGCTGCACACACGATACATTATACAGGCTTCTTAAAGTGTAAACAGAGTGTAACAATGATTTAGAGTTGACCTTGTCTCACCTCTTGACTCCCACTCTCTGATGACAATGTAATGGTGACAGAGATAATAGCCTTGTATACAATTATTACTAATGTTTTACTTAACAATACTAGTCAATGAGACAATAGCATCTTATGGAACACATCCAAAGCCAAGCTTAATAAAGGGAAGGAAAGCAGAGAGGGATTTCTCCAATTTCAGAACGCCAACACTCATTGTTTCAAAGTCAAATGTGAAACCTAAGATTGTCCCAACAGACCATGAACTAATAGATAGTTTATATGACACACATCTTTCTCTTTTCCTTCTGCTCAGACTCCTGCCATTAATCATAAACAGTCACCTCAGCCTAACCCTGGACACCAACACCATGTCACTTTCTACCTTCTAGGTTGAAGTTCAATTTTTGAATGAAATTATTTAAAAAAGCAATCTTCAGAAGGCACATTGCCAGGTGCGTAAAGGTGGGGGGCCGATGGCTCCTTGCCGTCCAGTACATTTGTGACCACATTTTTACTATCTCTGACAAAATACATCCACAGAAAAAAGACTGAGAGACAGATGCTACCCAGTCAGTGTTCCTATCCTAATTGCTAATGCGACCTCTTCCAGTCATCGAGCAAAACGTAGATATGGACGACTGGCATCGCCGCATGTCACCTTATTTTCCTATGGTTGTAAATAGGGCTAACATGCATCGGTGCATCCCTAATTTCAACCACTTGTGTCCGCAAGCCTATTCATTCAAAGCTTAATGCAGATAGATATTGGGAGGGGAGATTCTGGAATTTGGACATTCAACACCATGACCCTGAGTGATTTTTTTTCCAGGAAAGGTCAACCTTTATGCAGGAAATGTGCACACACTCAGCCTTTCTCTTTATCTCTCTGATGCTAAAAGATTATTTCCCAGAAGTGTTTACTATATCAATGTTTTTATAACATGACCCAGCAGAATCTGGCGCATTTCCACTGCAGGGCCTCGCACGCAGTGGCGTTTTTATATGTACAAAAGTGGTGGGGCACAAAAAACTTAGATGTCTATATATAAGCTTCTGCAGTGACGTGCAGTGAGGTTCATGGCTGGTGAGGCACTGGCACTGACTCTTCAGGTTTACAAATATTATATTTTGACCTAAACCAAAATATAATATTATTTTCAAAAGCTTTTTTTGTCTGATGCTTCGATTAATTTTAAACAGACAGTTCAACAAAAGGATACCCAAAAAATGTCATTTTATCATTTAAATATTGAATTGTTCTCTCTTAGTAAGATCCCATTTTCAATAAAATGGCGGTCTTACCTTGACTTGAAGATGAAGTCCATTTGCCTATCCTTCTGGACAAACATTTCTATTACTTTTTTGTAAAAGTCCTCCTTATGTTCTTGTAGTTTCAAAAGTCTATCATAAATCTAATCCATAGATTTATGATAAAAAAATTATATAAGTAGGGTAGACATGTGGATGTTATCCGGCTAATCAAAACGTGCATTTATCTAACAGGTACGTTTCCCACAGATCTTATTTCGAGCTATTTTCTAAAATCCTCTGGAGAAATCTCATTGCTTTTTTGTGCTTACTTCCTGGTTTTAGGACGCGCCACTGCAGCTCTCTCGTCTCCTCTTCACACAGCACACTTTTCGCGGCACACGTACTTACAGCCAATCAGCTCTGAATGATTTGAGATGACGTATGGTGGGATTGGTAGCTCCATGCCCCTCTGGTCATTATTTTTTTGCCACACACATTTCATTACAAAATACTCTGAGCATGCGCAGTGAAGTTTTTACAGTCACCGTTGACTTCACAGCGAGAGGAAGGGGCATAATCAGGTTTTGTCCCACATGGCTCTAAACAGCTCAATAGGCACACACTGTGACTGTAGACACACTAATTAGAAGAACACAGACTAAAACAGCAATGTACAGACGAATCAGATGATTAAACATGATCTTAAAATATATTTTATATATTTTTTTATTTATTTTTTTGCATTTTTGTAATCATTATTTGTAATACTTTCTGCTGACACTAGGTGGGGCTGTGCCCCACCTGCCCCTAATGACCAGTCGCCACTGCTCGCACGGCTTAGTACGGTATAGTTAGGCCTTGGTAGTCCAGGCTCACTTTATGCTGCGTTTCCATTACAGTTTAGTAGCTGGGGCAGTAACTATAGTAACGCAGTGTAGGCGGAGCCGTGACGTCATCTTCAATGAGAACCACAAAACCAACACAGCCGTTAGCTGTTAGCACTCAGAGCTCACAGCTCCTCATATCTGTTCAGAAACTAGACAAAAGTTAAACAAGTACAAACCACAGACTGCCTGTGTCATGGTGAATACAGTCGCTGGTTTATTTATGTCTGTATAGGCCGTTGTTGTGAGTGTGGAAGGTCGGAGCATATACTGCGTTAGCTTAGCCAATCTCCATTTAGAAAACAAGCATTTTAAAAGGTTTTTCGCCTGCCGTCTGTCTGCAGACTTGTCAAAGCATTAATTCATGGTTTTTACTAACCGGTATCAGTATGTTGTTACTTCGGCATCATTTTGAAACGTGTATTACAATTAAATCACGGTCAAATATGTTCATCTTGTTGTAGTTGTAGCCCCCTTGCCAGCGATTCTCTTCTGACGAGTGTTTACGTCACTAGTTTAGCATATTCAGCCCGGTTGTTGGCCCGGTAAGAACCTTGATTTTGGAGAGCCAGAAAAAAGGTGAAAAAGTAGCCCTGAGCCGGAACTACCCCTAGTGGAAAAGCAACAAAAAAACGGGCCCGGTTTGGCACGGCACGCTTAAACCGTGCTACGTGCTGCAGAGGAAATGCGTAATTGAGTTTACACTGATTGTTGTCCTCACTGCATTTGGGGGTGGGAATGAGATCCCCTAGTTGGTGTTGGATATTGAGGAACGGTTCACAAACAGTAGTGTGAGGGCTGCATTAATGCAACAACATTAGATTTGATTATCCAAGCATGAGTATGTCTGTAAGGTTTGCATTGATCTGGATGTAGTTCTAATGTAACATGACTTTAGCTCTTAGCTCTGGTTTTTGTTTTGGACATCTTTCTTTAACAGTTCTGATGATTCTTTGCAAAGTAAACAATTATCATCATTTGTTTACAAGACAACAGTTAATCCAGAAGATCTACACAAACTTTATTTGGACGTCAAACTGAAAGTGAGCATCATAATGTATCAGTCCTAAATTGGTACAGGCCCAGTAAATATAAAGACATTTGAATAGAGGAATGCCGAGGTTTTGTTTTGTCATTGTGTTTCTACCAGAGAGCATTAGTCGTGCACCTAAGATGTTTCGACCTCACTGCAGTATGTCCACAAAACTCTCTTTTCATAGCGTGGTTGTAACCCATTGGAGTTTTCCTTACCAATTAACATTAATTGTTGTGAGCTGTGGAGGGCTGAGTGAGCGTCAGAGTAAGGCTGCCTTTACACGGGAACGTTTGCGTTTATGCACAGTATGCGCTTTCAAAAAAGTCTTCCGTTCACATGCATTCGTTTCATTTAACGTGTCTGTTCAAACGAGACCGCTGGAAACGCTGTAGTACATATGCCGGGACTGTAAGTGGCGCTGTACTTCCGCACGAGACCGCTCGAAAGCGCTGGACACGCTGTAGTACATATGCCGGGACTGTAAGTGGCGCTGTAACTTCCGCCACAAAATACACCAAAAGCAGCGAAGAAGACCCCGGAGCAATGTTGCCATGGTTGCCCTTCTGTTCATGCCCCGCGGTGGATTTAGCAACATGTAGTAGTTCATGTAATTCTCCATGTCCACTTGTTGCTGATGGTTGTGGTAGAGGAGCTGTAGATTTTGCACTAACATCTGTAGCATGGTCAGTAGCAGTAGCACTAGCAGTAGCTACTGACAGTAGCTACTGGCCATGCTACAGCAGTGAGCAGCAGAGGCGTGGAGAGGTGGGGCTAACGTTATTTTTTCAGGAAATATTCGTATAGAGGTGATTACACGGACTCGTTTGACCCCCCAGAGCGTTTCGTTTGCAAATCTATCCACCTTGGGACCCGTTATCGCTTATGAGGTCCGTTTGTTACGGCCTCGTGTAAATAATAGGGCTATACGCAAGAGAAACTATGCAGATACAAGCCGTTTCGTTCTCGTGTAAAGGCAGCCTTAGATGGCTGCTGCTGGTGGCTCATCACTTAGCTCCAGGTGAGAATAATGGCTTTGTTGCTAAGCCTCTCTCTGTGTGTCGGAGTCTCTCAGTCCGCTGAATAATGCTATTATCACTAAGCTGCTCTTTCAACGTGAGCCAAACACCCAGCTGTTTCACCCTATGACATTAGCATACACTGTGTGGGTGGGGCAGGGGGGGGTCATCTCCATCAGGTTAACCAGGGGTCGTGGGGGGCTCATTTAAAATGTTCCTGTTTAGACTTAACACTCATCATTTTAAGCAGCAGAACCCCCCTCCTCCCTTCTTCTCTCACTCTTCTGAGTGACGCAGTGACCCAAGATACGAAAGTGTTTACCATCGTCACATTATCAATGAAACTGGAAGCTTAGAATCAAAGTGTTTGCAGGTAATTATGTTCCTGTTTCATTGTCAAGTGCATCACAATGCCTCAAACAAGCTAGAATTAACATACATGTTGCTTTAGCAGAGCTCTTCTTCAAACTTCACAATAGGATTGTCAAGGGGTTAGCTGATCGATGGACTGTCAAACCAGAGTTTAAACCTCTTCAATCGAAACTAGACTGCAGAGGGCCCAAAGAAACACACTAACTCCAACTGACCAATAATGATCAAGAATCACTAGCTCTATGCTCTAGTGGAAATGCAACACTGTGGGGACATCAACTAAATGGAACTTTTAATCAGTTTATTCATATTTTGGGGCTCAAACTGAAAAATATAAAATGCTTTTGGTCAGATTGCCCTTTTTTGGATATTGACAGTTTTGAAAGGGGAGATACTGTAAAGGGGAAGACTTGCTTAAGAGGAGCAGGTTGGATTCATATTTGTGTCCGCTGCCGCAAAGAAAGAAAGAATAGAATCAAAATAACAGACGGTTCCAACGTTTTTTACGGTAGTGCAAATGCTCATTTAAATCTCATCTCAATTTTTATGTTTTGTGGAACTCACCATGTTTGACAATATTTGTATTATCTCTCCCTCCGAGCATTTGACCACCTCCCAACAATACTGGCTGAAACACTGAAGTCATTTATCCTGTATTAAAAAATGATAACTTTCCGTTCAAACTGTCACCACCACCAGCCTCAATCTTCTTCTGTTTCTGAAGTGGGCTTCTGTTCTGAGTGTTGTGTCTGTTTTACAGCTCCTGGATCTGTTCATGGTGTGGGACTGGTCAACGTACCTGGCAGACTACGGCCAACCAACCTCCAAATATCTGAGAGTGAACCCAGCTACTGCCCTGGCTCTGCTGGAGAAGTGAGTCCACACACTGCTGCTAACGTGTTTACACTATTGCAACACTTTTAAAGGGCCAACTCCAAGACCTTTGCTAAACAAATGCAGATTTAATATCCTCAGGATCCAGAGGAATCTCCAGGAACAAGCATTGATTTATTGTATAAACAGGTGTCTAGGATTGTTCTGGTCAGAGATTATGAGTAGTATGATTTTCTGGCTTCTCTCATTGCTGAGGAAGCGTTCTGGTGTTCTCTTGGGGACATTTGATATACAGTTAAGGCCTGAATATGCGCTCTACAGGCCTTTGGATTTCTGAGGTTTGAGCTGGAGAGTGAACTTGGGGAAGGAGCGATGGAGGAAACCAGTCTTGTGTTTTTCAGCTGAAACAAACCTCTCTAAGCCATCGAGTGCTGTGTAACAGTCAACATGCTCCTGAAGTGAATGAAGCACAAGGCTCAGTAAGGCTCAACCTTATTGGTACCAAAAGTCGTGTAGAGTCAAATGTAGCTGTCCCATGCGCGTCTTTCGTTTTTTTCCAACCCAGTTTAGATTTAACCACGCCCACTTCTGCATTAACGTAGCTCTGCGTGACTGCGTCATGGACCTATAAAGAGAATGTCCCCATGTTAACAAAAGTAATATCATGTCTACTATAGCTTGGAAAAAACCGATATGGGTTATTATTCAGTCAGTGCAGCGTCAGAGCGTCAGTCTAGGAGTTTTCTTCACGAAATATGAATTCATGGAGCATCTTTTTCAAAGTAGATGGAAATAGCGCTTTCTCAATATGAAAGAACGTCATAGTTAAGCTTAGCTGAGTAAATGTTAATTATAATTTTTTGTATGAATTCACCATGAATTTAAATATAATGAACTAAAAACCAATATGTACTGTAGCTTAATAGCTTGTTTTTCGTTTTTTTCACGTTTTGTACATGAGTACAGTATTTGAGTAAATGTACTTTATTACTCTCCAACACTGTCAGAGGATAAAAAATGTTCCTCTTGCTGCAGACCGCTGGAACGTTTTTCACTGACCGATTAAGAGAAGATGGACCTTTATTCATCCCTGTAGGGAAATTCACATGTCATAACAGCAACAGACAGAGAAGGAAACACAGATAGTACACATAACAAGAATAAAAAAAAGAAATAATAAGAATAAACATGTATTCACATTATTTATAGAAATAACAAACATAATGTGAGTTAAACTATGATCCAGTGAATGTAAATATATACAGAAATGTGAGCAGAACAGATATTTTAAATATATATATATATATATATATATATATACATTTAAGGTGCATTGTTTGTAGCCTTTATTTAACCAGGTTAAAAATCCCATTGAGATCAACGATCTCTTTTTCAAGGGAGACCTGCGGATTTATGCATACATAAACAACCCATATCATTTTTTTCCAAGCTATAGTAGAATATAACTTCAGCGTTGTTAACATGGGGAAGTTCTCTTTATACGTCACCCAGAGCTACATTAAAGTGGACCTATCATGCTATATTTAAATGATATATTGTAGGGCCATACCTATATAAGGTATATTTATACGTTTCTGTTTTCAAAATACCAAACAGATCATGCATTTTAGCCATGCCTCATTTCACTCTATGTGCTGTTTGCTGTCTACGGGGCTGATTCTGCTGACCACGCCCCCCTGCAGGAGAGGGGAGACGTGCTCTGATCAGCTGCTGGGCTGTCAGAAGAGGGGGAGAAAAAGAGATCTCCGTCCTCCATGTTTTATTATATAGAGTCGTTATTCATTTGTTTTAAAGCTCAATAAATAACAAAGAAGACCTTTGACCGGCACTTTTCTAATTTTGTCCGGAAGATTTAAACTTTAACGGACATCTTGACCGGCGAAAGAAACTGAAACTCTGCCGCACGGTCCCCTCGTTCCTTGGAAGAGGCGGAGAGGTGGGTGTTTGTCATCTGCTGGTGGACTAACCGGAGAGAATTACAGTGCTTGCCTCGACGGGGAGGGATTGCATTGAATTACAGCAGCGGGAGCAAACGCTTGCCTCGGGGAGGGAGAAAGAAAGCCACAGCGGAGAATAAACAGAAGGGTAACCATGGTAACTATGGGCGGGAAGTCTTCTTCGCTGGTTTTGTGGCAGACTACAGCGCCACTTACAGGCCTGGCATATGTACTACAGCGTCTTCAGCGCTTTCGAACGGCAATGGCCGTGGCTGTCTCCTCCTGATTGGTGGAGTTGGCCCAATAGCCGTAGCGCCACCGTCCTGACATCAGGACAGTGTTCAAATCTGGATCAGTTTTTATCAGATCCGTTGCAGCCCCTTTTTTAGAGATTTGGGTATGGAGGAAAATAGAGAGGGTTGTGTTTTCTGACACTTGGTGAGTTCCCTGGAACACCGGGGACACATATTCATGTCTAAAAGACGTACAAAAGTGCATTTTGCATGATAGGTCCCCTTTAATGCGGAAGTGGGCGTGGTTTAATCTAAACTGGGTTGGAAAAACGCGTCCCGTGTAGTGAAAATGAAGTCAAACCAGCTTCACCAGAACATTTGCTTATATAAGTTTGTTTTAGTGTGGGTGGTTATTGCCCTCTTTCCTTCAGATATTAAAAGGAAAAGATTAGGTGATGGGTTCCAGGCTTGCTTTTGGATGAATCCAAAACAGGTGTCATAGTTGTGATGTATGAGAACAGAAGGGAAACAAATCTACACCGGAATTCTTATAGAATTTAAGAAAATTGTTAGTGTGATAAAATGTCAACACATATTTTGTATTCCTATTTTAAGAAGTTTTCAGTGAAAGTTGTACCATTGTCTTTGATATTTTCAGCACTTTATTACAATAATGCTTGCATGTAATTTATATGAATTTGTCTGCTTTGCTTGAGATTTATTGGTGCTTTTCTGATACTCAATCTTTTTCTCTGCTGCTGCTCAGAGTCTACAGAGGGTAGGTGCCGTTTCCTCACTGCTTTTCTTTGGTCGTCCCCATGCATGCTCTGATCATCTCAACATTGTTTCCACTTCCTACAGAATGAATTGTCTCCACTTTATAAACGCACAATAGAGAGTTTTATTAAGACTAAATGCCATTGATGAATATATAAGGGTGCTCCTGATTGGGAGGAAAACCCCACAATTACATGGTGACACACATGATTACAAAATGATCTTTTATATTAGTTACTCCACACTGACACAGGTTGGGTAATCGCTCTCTAAAGAGTTCAAGTTCAGCAGATGGATTTAATAACAGTTTAGCTTCTGAATTCCCACTAAAGTCTTCAGCAGTCATTAGCTCCTGTGGTTCTAGTGTTCTGCTTTCACAGCCTGCTGCAGCCACACGAGGACGATAACGGTTGTATCTGCTACGGTTCTCTATCAGATAGACGGTTCGGCCACACGAGGCCGCCATGGAAACGCATAAAACGATAACGGGTCCCACGCTCTGGGGGGCAAACGACTCCGTGTTTACGCCTATACGATCATTTCCTGATAACGATGACGCAATAGCCCCAGTGTTTCGAGCCAGGTCCCGGTATCTCGCAGGACAGTGCACCCAGCAGGAGCTTCCAGCTAGTTTTGATCGATATGGACATAAACGCGAGTGAAGTCTAATCGGACAGGAGAGGAGACACGCAGCTCTGCATGATAACCTGCAGCTCCGCCCGCTGTGATGGAGCGATGAGCAGAACAAAACACACACTTCAAGTTAGATCATCACCCTTAGCTATTTTAATGACCTCTCAAACTACCTAAACTAGTTATAAATATGTTTATTTTGACTGTCGAGTCACTCATTACTGGATCAGCCAGCTGCATGAGACCACGGATACTGACGGGCTGTCAGGAGAGGGGGAGGAAAAGAGAGGCTCTGTCCTCCATGTATTATTCTTATATTATTATATAGAGTCGTTATTCATTTGTTTTAAAGCTCAATAAATAACAAAGAAGACCTTTGACCGGCACTTTTCTAATTTTGTCCGGAAGATTTAAACTTTAACGGACATCTTGACCGGCGAAACCCCACCTCTGCTGTTAAATCCAGCGCGGAGAATAAACAGAAGGGCAACCATGGCAACCATGCATGCGCGAGAAGTCTTCTTCGCTGCTTTTGGTGTATTTTGTGGCAGAAGTACAGCGCCACTTACAGGCCCGGCATATATGTACTACAGCATCTCCAGCGGTTCGAGCGGTCTCGTGTGGACGGACACGTTTCTGGTGCCTATTGCGTGTTGACGGAAGACTTTTTTGATAACGATTTCGGTCCGTTTGCGTTATCGTCCTCGTGTGGCTGCAGCCTTAGTTTTTTCCCCAGTGTTTTGTCCACACTAGAGTTTGACTGGCTGCTTTCACACCTCCTAAACATCTGTCTGACTCGTCTCTTTGTCTTCCTCTCTGACAGGATGAAGGACACCAGTAAGAAGAACAACATCTTCTCTCAGTTCAGGAAGAACGACAGAGACAAACAGAAGCTGATAGAGACAGTGGTCAAACAGCTGAGGAGCCTGGTCAACGGCATGTCCTCCTAAACACACACACACACACACACACACACACACACACACACACACACACACACACACACACACACACACACACACACACACACACACACACACACACACACACACACACACACACACACGAGTGACATGCATGCACACACAGTGACCCAAGACACTCACTGAGGGAGGAGATGTTGGCACATGTAATGAAGTAATACCACACAACACACACATACAAACACACAAAAGGAACAGATAGACCGCTTACATACACACACTTTATGAAGGCCCAGCAGTACACACGCTGTACAAGGCATGCAGGAAACAGACTTTCAGCAAATACAACACGCACACACACACACACACACACACACACACACACACACACACACACACACACACACACACACACACACACACACACACACACACACACACACACGTAGGCATATCCCTCCTAACTGTTATACCTGACTGGATACTCAATGTAAATATCACACATACTACACATTTCACTGAACAGTAATATATGTAAATTATTTGTAATGGCTATGATAAGACAAACTATGTTTAGTACCTTAATGAGAGAGAGATGATTGTAGCTGCAGAGGGAGGCTCATAGAGAGAGGAAGTGACATCACAAAGTACTGGGACAATGAGCTGAAAGGGTCCACACTTTTCTCCACAAATGAGAGGGGATAAACGTTTCAGAAAGGTTTTCAGTCAATATATATTTTATATATAAATAATATTCCCCTCATCCTCTACTCTTAGTATGGTAAACCACACTTACACTTTTTAACAATAAATAAATACAATAAAAAAAACAAACACATAACTGCAACCCACTCTCTTAAGTGACTTCTGACTTCTGATCTGGGTCCTAAAGAAGCTGCATGTTGATTAATAATAAAGACTTTAATTAATAACATTTCTGTTATCAAACTATTTAGTTGCGGAGGCAGTCTAAATATACATTAAGGGTTTAAGTCTGCCAGTCAGCCATTTCGTCACAAATTCATATATGTGGCTATTTCTCTTGTAGCTGAATGGATATTGAAAATGTCATCAAAACTTCCATTTCAAACCGACCTCCTGACAACACCTGGAACAACCAAACAGAGAAAGTAGACCCAAGTTCAGCTCATTTTCCGTGTGTGTGTGTGTGTGTGTGTGTGTGTGTGTGTGTGTGTGTGTGTGTGTGTGTGTGTGTGTGTGTGTGTGTGTGTGTGTGTGTGTGTGTGTGTGTGTGTGTGTGTGTGTGTGTGTGTGTGTGTGTGTGTGTGTGTGTGTGTGTGTGTGTGTGTGTGTGTGTGTGTGTGTGTGTGTGTGTGTGTGTGTGTGTGTGTGTGTGTGTGTGTGATGTTCATGATAAAAGGGAAGTCATGTTGAACCCCTCTGTGGCGTTGCTTGCTGTTTGTCTTGCTTTTGACGTCATATTGAACATTCAAGCCAGCGTCCTGACACTGTGTCTGAACACAGCACATGGCAGAGAGCTGCAATGAGGGCGGAAACATCTGGGTTTGGTCAGCAGAGGCTCCAATGAGCTGGTATGGATGTTTCGTGGTAGAATACACAATAGGGAGGGTTTGCATGAGGTGTTACCAACATCTGGTTTTAACATGCACTCAGTATCTGGATATGTTTGGTGTAAATGTAAAGCAATAGGAATGTGATTGGATCAGCCCGACATCGTCTGAAAGGGTTGTCAGATCTCAGCCATGTGTCAACGCTCCTGGTAATAATACCAAAGAAATCAGATGGCTTGCAAGCTTAAGTATTTAAGTGGCATCTTTAATAAAGGAGTGGAGATAATGGCGTCCAACAATAGATAACATCCGCCGTCACATAACGTATCCTAAAGTCAGTGCATTGGTATACTCGTCGCACTGCGGTTGTCTTCTCCTAAGTCCTTTTAAATTCTCCTTTATATCTCTTATGACCTCATACCATGTGTTTGTGTTTAGAACACCACTCTTACCTTGTGTGTCAAAACTGTTCCTCAAGAGTCTTTCACGTTGTTTTCATTTGTTCCAGTTGTGAACAAGTTTTATGGGATATCATGATCTACTTTCCTTTTGTTGAGGATTGTCCTGAGCTGAAGGCTCATCTAGAGTTTTCAAACAGCTCTTATCATGGCTGACCCTTTGGTTCTTCTGGGTTATTTCACTCAGGTAGCAACCTTGCTAAGGGATAGGAACATCTTTTGTTGCAGGTGTGAATGCACAGGTCTCTGATCAGATGTTATCCAGATACAGAGCACATGTTACTACCAGGTGGAGATGACTGTAAACTGCAAATTCCCCAACATGTCAACATCCTCAGACCGACTGTACCTCATGGTTAAATCTGATGAATGTGTCAGGTGACAGTGTGCCTCCCTCTGAGCGGTGAAGGACTATATTTATGTTATGTTGACTGCAGTTTTGTCTTACTACCAACTCAAACTTCTTGAATCATGCTTACAAGAAAACAACTGATATTATTGGTGATTTTATACAAAACATATTTATATTTGACAGTTTTATTCTACATTCTTTCTTTTTGATCCTCAGGGTGAAATGAAACTTCACCGATATTCACAAAGCACAGCAATAATGAATTGGTCGATGCTCATCTCAAACATTTTATAATAAGACTGTTTATGTTTTGGCGCTGTGCTCCACTTTCAGAAGGCATTTTTGCACTCAAACTGACTGAACGTTTTTTCTTTTTAGAGTCTTTTGTTTTGCCTTTTTTAAAAGTTGCTTGTAAATGCCAATGTAAATACTGCATATTTTGTAAAGAAAATATTAGGGCAGTTTGTCTGTCAGAACTGGAGGTTGGCTGTGATGCTCCTCCAGCAACACCTACAGTAAATATGTAATTAATAAGAGTTTGAATCTGCGTTTTTTGCTTACATGGTGAACAGAGTGCAGTGTGAGGAGCTCAGTGACTTCTGTTGGTACCTTCTCTCCACATTTGCATGGTTAAGATGTGAAAAATAAGATGATTTATTATGTTATATCTGTATAACATTTCATATTTAAATACAGCTAAAGATTTCTGCTCATGTTCCGATCATTTTAAATTCAGTAGCAACACCTTGCCACCACCCATTTATGTTAACTCACATTATTTAATTGACATTTCCTCATTATCTGAATAGGAAACTTCCAGGCAGCATAACTTTCCATACACAAACTGATTTGTTGTTGCAAATGAGTTGTATATAAATGTAACAGGGCTGTAAAAAGTGGTACAATATGCTATGAGAACCAAGGAATTTAAATTAAAAGCCTGTTAATATAATGTATAATGTGTCACCTAATCTCCTGTGAGAGAATAATGAAAGTGTCTGTGAATGTAATGGATTCAGATCCAACACAAAACTCAATACTGAAAACATGCTTTGATCTGGAGCGTTTCTGCTATAATGGCACACACCAAGACTTTACATAACACTGCTTGAATGCCAATGATTATTTCAATAGGAATATAAAATGTGCGATAGTTTTTCTTGCCTTCCACAGAAGTGGAGAGAGGGTACATTTTGATATCCAAAGGAATCCTTGCTTTACCTTTGTCCTTGTTCTCAGTGAGGAGAGACAGAGTTTTCCTTCATGTGATGTTTTTATTTTGTGTGCTGTAATAAAAGGTTATTCAACAGGAACTCTGTGTGTGTCATTCCAGCAGTTGGTTACAAAGAGTAAACATCAGTTTAGGCTACATGGCAGGAAAACAAAACAAATACAGACCATTTCACTGTATAGATAATGTTCCTTTCCTGTAGTGTGTTGTGTAGGTTTTTGTGCATTTTGTGTGTAAATGGTCTACAAAGGCTAAAATCCCTGTGTTCGCTTCAGAGGGAGTTTCTCTCACAAACATAGTGACAACACTATGTAACACTCGCGCTCCTATTGGCTAGCGCTCCAACACATTGTACCTGACTGGCTAAGTAGCGGGACATCTCTAATGGCGCTTTTCCACTACCGCACGTTTTTTTGCTTTTCCACTAGGGGTAGTTCTGGCTCAGGGGCCTCATTTATAACGCCTTGCGTAGGATTGGCGTGGGAAGGTTGCTTACGTAGGACAAAGCAAATAAATACGCACAGACATTTTCCGATCAGCCTGTCCTCCTACAAAAAACGACCATATAGGCCGATTGTTCATGCCCTTATTACGACCCAGAGACACGTTTTAAAGTGTATGTTGTTTCTTACACGACCGCTAGAGGTGCTCTAGTGGTCGTGTAAGAAACAACATGCTCCCGGCCCGTTCATTGCAAACGCTCCGGAGGGACGTTTATTCACAAATAACCCTCTCTGGAAAATCCTAAATTGTGGAATAGTTTGGTCATTAAAATGCTTTGTGATTCCATTTCTGGCGAGAAGTGTATATTGCACTCTTAGAATCCACGTCCAGTCGATGTGTAGGATCTATAGTTTGATAGATATTACGAAGAGGTCTCGCCAGGATAACGTGTATATGGGGCAGCTTCCATGTAAAGTTAGCGTGGGTGAAAACAGTTTTTCCGGTCTCAAAGTTTTCATAATAAAACCGGATATATTCCCCTCACTATCAAATGATTACACAGTGATATCTGCAATACTCATCCACTAAAAAACATCAACATAACCCCAACGTTTTTTTCTTATTCAAAAGAAGACCTTAACTTAAAGTATTCTTTAATGTTTAAATAAAGCCTTATTAGTTTGTCTGTTTTGCACATCCTCCTGTTAATATCTTTGGACGTCCTGCACTAAACTGTTTTATTGTAGAGATCACCACAGTATCTTCTTGATATTTTCTATTCTATATTTCTATCATGCCTTCTACTTTCCCCCTATTTTGTATGTAGGCTACTCTTAATATTTAAATGTTTTCATCAAATAAAACTTATTCAACAACAAAATTAAATAACGTGCTTTAACCACTAGGCGGTGCGGGTTAAAAAAAACAGTGGTGTAGTTAATAAAACATAATAATATCAAACATAATATGACTATTAACTTTATTGTGAAATTAAAACAGAACGGTAAAGGAAAATACAGTTTCAGTCTCTCGATTTGAAGCTTATGCATTGTACTATGAACCTGTACCTGTAACAGTCA